TGTTAGTACGTTTTCGTCCTGTCGCCTGTAAGCCATTGTACCGACTGTACGTGTGTGCACGATTGTGCAATAATCCCTTCAAACCGGATGTTGGCCAGGAGATCAAAATCGCGACGAAGCTGTGAAGGCGGTGTGCAGATGGGACGACGCGTGTGCATGCCGCACCGAGAACTCAGTGATATGATGCGGAAAAGCCACAGTAATCCTACTACAGTAATCCTATTCAGTCTCAAGAATGTCCGTGTGAAAAGCTAACTTCTGTCTGTGCTGCAACATGAATTTCATAGCACACTCCAGGCAACCAAATGAGTAAACTAAGATTTCTTACCCTGATGAATGGTTCAACCACACTTTGAGAGGTGTCAAACACAACAATAATATCCAGCTTTTGACATTTGGGATTGTCTGAAAGCTCCAAATTCATCATAATTATTAGTGTCCATACAATATTAGACTAGAACAAACCGTCAGTGGCTGCCCGGCCGGTGTTGAAGAGGGCGGGTACGGGGGCAGCCGGGGCGTCGGAGTCTGAGCATGAGAAATTAGGATGAGCCCTAGCAGCAGCAGAACAAAAGAGCTCATACAACATACGCTGACCGCATCGGCTGGTTGGAGACAGAGCACGACTAAGCCACTCGCATGATGCGCTCCGTCTCACAAGGGGGAAGAGCTTCAATGACGATGTCACTGTAGCAGGCCGGCCCCGCCCACACGGTCAGCGTGAATTGTGCCTGTAAAAGAGGAAAACTTACATTGACAGAAAAGAGTTGCAAAAGGATTCGCGATGGCCATTGAATTCCATGATATATACGTTTTCTTCACTGTCGTCAATTTGTCATAACCGCTGAAAAATCATTTTCAAAGGAGCACCCTTGGTACTGTCAACTCAGTAGTGTGTCAAGGTCCACGTAGTTTCAGTTTTACTATCACACTTTTTAAAATAATTGGTTTTCAAACTTGACTACTGGAAAACGATAAGTGACAAATCATAAAAGAGCTCACTATAAGTTTACTAGTGTTGGCACTATCGCGCTTACAAACACTCCTTTTAGTCGAATGTCGTTGGCAGGGTCGACAGCTCCCCTAAATACGAGTGGTTTCAAGTTCATATGTTAGGTACACATTAATCAGAATGCTTGCAATCTGGCTCTAATTAGCCAGGATCAGACATTTGCGGAAATCCCATCGGGGAACGCGGATGGCCCTTCAGGAAGGTAGGCTCGTAGCGGTGGAATACCAGCATCAGGCTGGCTCAATTCTCATGCTTAATCTCTTGCTTGAGGCGACTCGACTTGGAGAGAATTTGCTACAGGAATGCTAAATGGGCTCCTGGACTAAATGTTGCGGTGGTGTAGTGGATGAATATGATGCTCAGAAGGAGTAAATGCTGATCGCAGCTGGATGTGGGTAAATCAAGACCTTTGCGATAACAGATCAATCGGTATGTCCATCCAGAAAGCGCTTCAGCAGTAGAGATAACCTTGCAATCATAAAGCTTAGTCCATCAAAGCAGCAAGAGGGGTCCTGCTGTTAAGGAGAGCAATGAAAACAGGACCCCTCCCACACGTTCCTCATCTTCAATCCTACCTATCATCCTCCGCCCAGCATCCTCAAAATCCTCCCAAGCGGAAAAAATCCAGGGGCATGGTAGGTAGGATGGCGAGGGAGGGGGTAGGGGCATTGATATTCACATCTCATGTGGAAAGAGAAATGCGAGAAAAGTCAGCGAAAAGTTTCTCGCAAATACAATTGCCGCCCCCCCCCCTTGAGGTGACCAAACGATCCCCCTAGCTGGGGATCCCAACCGTCCAGAAAGTCCAAGCCGTGGCGATGCACAAGAACTCCACGGCAGCGTGACAAATGCTCTTCATTCTGGCACGCATTGCAGC